TGAATTGATTCAAAAATTTCTATCATCATTTAGCAACAGGTTGACATTCATTTTTTATTTGATAGACTTCCTTTTGATGTGATAGGAGGTGCTGAATTTTTTCGAAATCGAGAGAATTTGTATTGTACGATGACGAATCCGAATAAGTGTCACATTCGTTAGTTCTAATGAAATCAATCGGAAACATGGGATCATCACTAGCTGGTGAGATTATACATAGGCGATACATGTTCTGAAAGATTGATGTTTAGCTTCAGAAAATGTTTTCAAATCAATTTTTATTAAAAATATTATCAGGGCAAAACAATTTGCCCTGCCCTGTCCTGTGCCCTGCTCCAGTCGCCCTGAGGACGGACAGGACAGGGCAAGAAAAAAAAAGTTTGCCCTGTAGGACAGAGCAGGACAGGTCGTCAGGGTTGCCCTGATGCCCTGACCTATGACGGTCTCTGCTGTGAGTACAACATATGATATCAAGAGTTCGTCCCCATACTGGACTTTAAAGAGACTACGAGGTACCATAAAGGGTATTTCCATAGTAACTGTGGAAAAATTGTTAATGGCTTTTTTCATACTTTATCTTTACGTAGAGAGCGGAAAAGTTTTGGAATAAAAGATCTTGATTAAATATATATGAGATAAAAATCTTAGCTCTCTACGTAAAGATAAAGTATGAAAAAACCATTAACAATTTCTTCTCAGCTACTATGGGAACACTCTTTATAGTACCTCGTAGTTCCTTAAAAGTCCAGTATGGGAATGAATCCTTTATATCACGTGTTATATTCACTGCGCTCTAAAAAATAGCAAACACCAGATTCGAAACGAAGCGTCACACTTGGAGATCTTTCCTCGTACGTAGGTCGTGGTGAAATTTGCGAAACTTTGTCTCTGATGTTGATATATAGTAACATGAGAGAAAATGTCTTTCTTCTTCTCAAAAGCTGATCATTTTAAACAGCTAATGCATATGAAGTTATATGGGTTCTTTTACACTTTGGGGCCCCAGGCATCTGATTGATCATATCACAAGCACGAAAGTGTGGGTGAGGCTGAGAAAGTTGGTTATTTGGGGTCCTAAAGTATAAAAGCTCCCTTATTTTGAGATTTTTCTTTTTGTTTATTATCATCACTATGGCACAATAAGTTTCATTTCCCATACTGTTATCGCCATCTATACTTATACAACTATAGAATTGAACAATAAAATATTCTAAAAATCATTGACTTTGAATTAAAATCTATACAAATAATAAAATCTACATTTTATTATTTAGTCTATGAAACGCCATCTATTTATTTGTTCTTATTTCCTCCATTGATTGAATTGCCTATGAAAATTGTTATGAATGGCCGCCATTTTGTTTATTTGTTTTATCTTTGTTCCCACCGTCATCATCTATTGTCATTCACACTCATTTATCCAGTTTCAATTTTAACTGTACTCATAAAAAATTGAATATTTTTCTTGTTTTTTTACTTTTTGATTGTTAGTTCGAATGTCGAATGTCTAGTTCAGGGGGCAGCAACGCCAAAAAGCCACGCATTGATGCGAATAGTGTGCTTCCGGGTTTGTTGCATTCATATATTTTGATTTCAATTTTAATCGCAGGAAAACATTAATTTTTCTAGCTATACCTACACGAATGCCAATATCAAATGGGCCGGGTACAACAGGTCCCCGTCCACTTGTTGCATTACTTGATGGACGTGATTGTGCAATTGAAATGCCAATATTAAAAGATATAGCAACTGTAGCATTTTGTGATGCTCAATCAACGTCAGAAATTCATGAAAAAGTATTAAATGAAGCAACAGCAGCATTAGTTTGGCATGCAATAACATTAAAAAAGGAGGATTTAACCAAATTTAAAGCTTTAAAATTAATTGTACGTATTGGTTCTGCTTATGATAATATTGATATAAAAGCAGCTGGTGAACAAGGTATTGCTGTCTCAAATGTTCCATCACAATGTGTTGAAGAAATGGCTGATACAACATTAAGTATGATATTAAATTTATATCGTCGCACAGCATGGTTAGCTCAAGCAGTTAAAGAAGGTAAACGTGTATCAACACCAGAACAAATTCGTGAAGTTGCATCGGGTTGTGCACGTATTCGAAATGAAACATTAGGAATTATTGGACTTGGTCAAGTCGGTATGGCTGTTGCTATACGAGCAAAAGTATTTGGTTTTAATGTTGTATTTTTTGATCCATATTTATCCGATGGAATTGATAAAGTTTTAGGTAAGACAAACAAAAGTCTAGAAATATTTATTCGTTGACCTTCTTTTTTTTTTTATTACCAATAGGAATTACTCGAATATTTACATTACAAGATTTACTTTATCGTTCTGATTGTGTAACACTTCATTGTTCACTTAATGAACATAATCATCATTTGATTAATGATTTTACTATAAAACAAATGAGACCTGGTGCATTTCTTGTTAATGTATCACGTGGTGGTCTTATCGATGAAGGAGCATTAGCTATGGCATTAAAAGATGGTCGAATTCGAGGTGCTGCATTAGATGTACTTGAAAATGAACCGTACAATTTAGCTGCTGGTTAGAATCTTTTTTTGAATATTTTTTACTTATTTGAATTTGTCCCCTTTTTCTTTTATTTTCTAGGACCATTAAAAGAGGCTGTTAATTTAATATGTACACCACGAACATCATGGTATAGTGAAGCAAGTTCACAAGAAATACGAGAAAATGCAGCACATGAAGTACGTCGTGGTTTAACAGGAAAAATGCCTGGTTCACTTCGATTTTGTGTTAATCGAGATTATCTTAATGTACCACGTGAGTGAAAATTCTAAAAAATAAAAACAAACGAAATGTGTTTTCTTTTTGTATTAGGTTCAGCTTTTGATAGTGGTCTTAATGGAGCATCACTTTCCTCATTATTTCCTTTAGCCGCACCATTTTTATCAACAGCTGGACATCTTTTAGGTGATCCATCAGCTGTAGGATCAATACCACCATCAGTTTTACCATCATCTCTTCAGCAATCAACAACGACAACAAATGCAACATCAAGTAGCAGTACACCATCATTACTTTCATCTACTGGTAATAGTTCACCTGTTGTAGTACCTGTTAGTATTGGCGAATCGGCTTTACAATCAGCGGCTAAAGCAGCAGCAGCTGCTTCACTTGGAAATAATAATAGTGGAGACTCAGCTGGTGGAGATTCAATGCACTAATTTACTAGTTCGTTTTGTTGTTTTCTTTCCTTGTGTTGTACATTCATTTCATTCTACTGTTGTAGTTTGCTTCTGTGTATGTTTGCCTGTAGTTTTCTTTCTCATTCCACACTGGTCTATTTGTATGTGTGTGTGTGTGTGTGTTTGTGTGGAATATATGTTTTGTGATGTGTCATTTTGTTTTCGTTTTTTTCTGTTGGTCTTCTATACAGAATACTTCATTGTTTCGGATTGGAAAGTAATTGTCTGTGTTCTTTTCTTTTTTTTTTCTTCTTTAACTCGGATAAATAGCTCTTTTCTTTCCATACTCAAACATACATGCACACACACACACAATAAAAAAAAAATGTATTCACAAAACACTTTTGGAAAGAAAAAAACAATATTATCAATAATATATATGTATAAACATTTTTTTTTCTTATTTCAAGTTTAGTTTCGAACTTTAGAAAAAAAAACACTATTGTTGCATGTTAGTTTTCTAGAGAGAAAGAAGTTTTGAATTATTGAATTATGTTCAGTGTGGCATTGGATGATGTTCGTGTTTTGGAACACGCTACTATTAAGGTAGAAACTTTGTTTTTTTTTGTTTCAAAGCATTTTTAAAAAAATGTTCTAATTATAATAGGTGCCTTATGAAACCTTAAATAAACGTTATCGTCATGCACAAAAACAAATTGATCGTGATTCCGCTCAATTGCTTGCATCTGTTGCTGAATTGGATCGATCATCACAATCTGCAACTACACTTGATTCACTTAAACGAGTACTTGAACGAGCTATTACACTAAAACGAAAAGTAATGATTCTCAAGGTTAATTTAATTTATTGAATTTTTATTGTTTTTTTTTCGTTTAGGCTCGTGAGTTACGTGATGATGAAATTGAATGTTTACAAGCTGTTAAACGACGTGTTGATCATCTAAAAGAATATGATAAAAGTTCATTATCAAAAATGGAAATGTGGCGACGACAACGATATGAACGTATTCTTGTTGATTTTCTTTTCCGAACACGATGTTTTGAAACTGCTCAAGCACTTGCTAAAGCAACAGGAATTGAGGTTTGTTTAGATGAAATTTATTTCTACACGGCTTGAGTTTTTCATTATATCAGCTGGTAGTAAATTATATGAACATATTCATAATAGCTCGATAAATTTTTAAATTGAGATACTGCTGTGACAAAAAGAAAATAATTCGATTTGCATTAGAATTTATTATAGTTTAAAAAACTATTAATAGAAGATTTGTTATACTTGATCTTGTATTAAGTTAAAGCTTATATTTATATACATAGATATTAAAGCAGTAATTTGTATATCATTTATAAATATTTTAAATAAAAATGTCTTGAAAAGTCAATGTTTAGTAAGCAACAATTCAATTTTCTTTTCAATAGAAAAGTTACACATATGTTTGTAAAAAGAATATTCTAATTGAATTGTCCTATTAATTGAAAGAAATACGACGATATCATTTTGTCCAAGAAGACTAGGTTTTTTTCTATGTCACTAATATAAAAAATGTATTCACATAGATAATTATTCCACATATTAGCTAATATTTCTGATATGTTGCATTAGTCAAAATTATCCAATTACTGATACTGCAGTTTTCACCAAAATTTCAGGCTAATCAATTGTTGAATAATTGTTTTTGGCATAAAAAAAGGAGAAAAATCATGTATTTCACTTTACTTAAAAATTATTCACACAGATATTTATTTTCTACAAATTGTATGAATCTTTTTCCATCAAACTGAAACTTTATGCTAGTAGATTATAGTTACTCTTACATGTTTTTTGTAAAAACCGCAGCTCAAATGGTTGAGTTCCAATGGAGTGATAACGCTTGCATTATTTTCTTTGAGTATATGAAAAATTTTCAGTACTACTGTCATATTATTGGCTAGATAATACTGTATGACGAGCACATCTTGATATAGATATAAATGATAATTTGCTATTTATCAAATCAAATGTTCGAACGTCAAACGAAATTTACTTGCCTGCAGTCAATATGTGATAAAAAAAGAAGATATGAATTTGAAGTATATCTGTAGTACGAATATACTCTTGCTCTTATTCAGACCCTGATTAATGTACACAACAGACTATTGGAATCGAGACGATGCACTTACACTGTATTAAACTGAAACAACTTATGAAATGAAAAGAATATTAATGAACAGCTTTAACAGTATCTTGTAGCATTGTTTTTTTCTGCAGTTTTATTTATTAAAATATGTGATAGAAATACAAAGTTAAAGTATAAGATGCCTCCTGATATCGGAATTTTAAAAATTCGTAACATCGCGTTTTTTTCAAATTATCTGGAATCCTGTTTGTCGCACAGAACGTGATAAACGAGATTTTTTGGTATACGCCACCAGACTTCCTAATGGACTAGAAGCTAGTCATAATGGTAATAATCATTCATGTCATTGACGATTTTTTTATTTCATGCAATCATTTACATCAGACAATTTTTCTATACCAAAGTAAATCAAAAAAGAAAAAAAAATACTGATTCCTTTATACAAACATAATTCATAGAAAAAAAAAATGAAAAAATGCATAACAATCACAAACGCACTTTTGCTACTCAATCATAAGCATAGACACGCAATATATATCAAGTAAAAAATAAGAAAAGTAAGAAACTATTAAAAAAATGAAAAAAGATAGGAGAAGGGTGCGGATGAAATTAATATCCATGCCTACGCAATCATTCTCAGTAGGAATAGAATTAGAAGTAGACGCGATAATTGATGATGCAGTTGTTGGTGAAATAGGAGAACGAAGCAACGACATTTTATTGAATAAAAAAAGTTTTTTTTTACGTGCATAGACAATTTTGTGTGTTTTTTTACTTTGCATACCTACTCGCTGTTCATTGCAGAAGTTTTTAACCCAATAGACGAACAAAATAAGTTTTTTCTTTTGAAAAAGAAAAACTTTACAGTGATCAGATGCGGCATCTCTAAAGAATTTTACGTTTGATAAAAGATACAATCTATGAGCTGTAGCTCGTACTCCATGAATATCTATCGCAAAATTGAACCAACTAATTCCATTGCGAACTTTGTTAGGGACTCTACGTCAAGCCTCTAATTGTGACAAATGTCTTTTTTTTTGTACCAAACATAGTTAATGACATGGATGCAGAAAAAGTATTTAAATGAGTATAGACATAATCGATTTCTTATTGAAATTTTGCTATTAAAACTACGAATTTCTTTGCATAATAAAACTTATAAAGTGGAAGTTGCCATGACTCTTTTGGAAATATGAACTTTTCATACTTACATATGAAACGAGCTCAGAAAACATATCATATTTTAGTACTACAAGACATCGAATATCTATCGACAGGAACATAAACACCATTTACATTTACAGACAAGACTGTTTATTAATATCTTCTAAGAACCATAATGTAATGAAAGATAATATGACAGATTTATCTATATAATAGGCTTATTTTTCTATGAATTTTTTAATAAGCTTCGACATATAATATAATACAAAACAAGTTTTATCTAATATTAATAAAAAAAAAATATATTGATTGATTTATTTTAACGAATCTTCTTTTTTTTCTAGCATTTGGTTAATTCCGAAATTTATTTGGCTGGCCGTGAAATTGAAGAATCATTAATACGTCGTGATGTATCAAAATGTTTAGCTTGGTTTAATGAAAATAAAACAAAATTAAAAAAGAATGGCGTACGTTACTTTCTATTATTTTTTCATTAAGATTATTGTTTTTTCTACAATATCATATTTAATATAGAGTACACTTGATTTTTGTATACATCTACAAGAATTTATTGAACTTGTTCGTAATAATCGTCGTTCTGAAGCAATCGTACATGCACGAAAATATTTAAATGGTTCTATACCAGAACAACATGTTAATGAATTTCAATCTGCTATGGGTTTACTTGTTTTATCACAACAATCAAAGAAAGAACTAAATAATGATTATCAAGTATGTTATAAAATATTGAATATAGTTTTATTTTTATTTTTTGATTGCATAATCAAATATTTAATTTAAAGACATTACTTGATGAAAATCGATGGACTAAATTAATTGAACAATTTCGTCTTGATATGTTTAAATTAAATCAAATGGGACAACAAAGTAAATTTACTGCTGTTTTACAAAGTGGTTTATCAGCTTTAAAAACACCGTAAATAATAATAAAGATTTGATTTCTAATACTATATGTTATACATATTTTTCTTAAAACATAGAACATGTTTTGATAAAGTTTCATCTGTAAAAAATCCAAATTGTCCTGTATGTAATGTTCATTTAAAAACAATTGCTAAAGTTTTACCATATGCTCATTGTTCTGTATCAAAATTAATTTGTGCACAATCACGCGAACCAATCAATGAAAGTAATCCACCATTAATGTTACCAAATGGTTATGTTTATGGTTCAAAAGTATATACGTTAATTTTTTGTTTTGTTTTTGTTCTTTATTTTATTTTTTGCATTTAATCATATATTTTTAGACTCTTCAAGCAATGGCTGCTATTAATAATGGCAAAGTTATATGTCCACGTACGAAAGAAACATATGATTTGACGCAAGCAGAAAAGGTGTACATTATGTAGACAAGAAAACGAAAAACAACAGACTTGTATTTTTATTTTTTTGATTTTATTCATGCATAAATATATATATATATGCAAATATATAATTAGAAAAATTCTTTAGATAAAATAAAATCGAAATGTTGTTTGATAATGAAAAGCCATCGACAACGAATTCATTGTCGATAAGAAATCGACGTCATATTCAACCGCCATCATCAAAAGGAACTATATGTTTGTTCACAAATTTATTGGAAAGAAAGAATAAAATTCTTTTATGATTACTTTTTTTTTCATTTTTAAAAAAAAAGAGGCGTGCATTTTTGAATGATTCTTAAGCCGGCTGGATATTGGGTGAGCAAGAAATGAATGAACTCAAGTTTGTTTTTTTTTTTGTTTGAGTCTGTTTTATTTATAATTACTTACAAGAAAAGTAGATTATGAATATAAAGAAAAACAAAAACACAAACAAGAATATATACTCAAAAGAAAAAGGTTTTCTTTTTCCAGGATATGATTAAAGAATAATACAACTTATGGTAATAATCAAATATCTTGATACAGCTATTATAATTATTGTTTAGTAAAAATATTTAATTATATATATTTAATCCTAATAATATCACAATGAATATTATCCTTTGCAAAGATTTTTATATTGCTTAATTGCTTTCTTTTTTGTGCTGATAGCTCTATAGGATTGGATGATTTGACAAAATGAAAAATTTTATCTTTATGAAAATTTAATTTGCTTCTTGTTTATATGTGCAAAATAATTGCTCAGTATTGTTTCCATTCGTTTAAAATAATTTAATCAAATATGATTCGATAGAATTTTTATTTGATAGTTCAAACAACGTGGTTATACAGATCCAGAATTAGATCGTCGAACAGCTACAACAACTGGTCAAATGCTCTATCAAATTATTGATCCTCGACCAACACCCGTTGTTTTATCAGATAATGTACCGCCTACACCACCACCTTCTTCACAAATTGCTGCTTTGCGACGACGAGAAGTTAATAGAATCTATGCATGTTTTAAGTCGATTTACAAATCTTTTTTTTTTGTAGGTATATAATAATCATTTATCAGAACATGATAATAGAAATATTATACAAAATTATGGAGAATATTTTGGACGAGTAAATAATTTCTTTTTTCTTCAAAAGACAAGAAAAAAGACATGCTTCATTTTCTTCTGTCTTTTGAAGGGTTTTGGTAAACGTTTAATACCTCAATCTGCAAGATCTCATAATGATTGGATTCTTTCGCATGATCCATTTCCCGTTCATCCAGATCGAAGTGTAACACGACGTGATTATCGTGGTTTGCCTGCATTTAATGATCAACAATTATCTTCATCAATGTTAACACCAACTCATCAAAAGTCAAGTGGTAATTGGATGACAAGTTGTTATGATGATTGGGAACGAAATACAGAACGGGCATCGAGTCGATTAATTTATCGTGATGATTCTAAACGAATGTCGATTTATCCATGGCACTATTAAATAATAAGCATTTTTCTATATTGTTTTGCATTCCTCAATAAACATAAAGACATATATCCTTCTCGAAATAGAATCTAGTTGTATTGCATATAAACGTATATATACCAACACAAAAAAAAAACTAGATAAACACGCTTTTTTATAATTACTCGACATATGGCCAATATAGATTAACCAGGATGTTATTGGCAATCAGAAAATTGTTTTGCAAAAAAAAAAGGGGGAATGTGTTAAATAAGACGATCTACTTGCTGGCAAAATTGATATTTTCTTTGCATGCTTGGAGTTTTGTGTACTTTAGCGATAGTTAGATTTCCGCCTCACTTCAATCTTTTTCTTGACTTGTCTACGATGTCATATATATATATATATATATATATTGCATTCACGATGATGTTTTTTGACTATTGGAAAGATATATGATGGTGTTCGTAACGAGGCGAAGAAAAAACGGATGTTAAAGTGTTGATGAAGTTCAACATGAGGAAACGAGACAAGCACTAGAGAAAAAAAATGAGAGAAGAAAACCGTTGTCGAGAGCACAATTAAGAGACAAGAAAATTTTCTGCTTCTTTCGCTTTCTGTTCGATGCGCTTCATCACTAACAGCATCAACATATCTAGCTATTTTTCGAGAATTCTATCGTCAAATAATAGAGAAATAGAGAGAAGAAAAGATTGGAACCATGAGTTCTCTATTCATGTCTCGCTTTATCGATTCTGTCTCTGGTTTCTATGATATCTTTTTTATAGAGAAAGACGCAAAGTAGAAACGAGCGTAGACACACACACACAATGTTAGAGAAGTGCAATAGAATGGCATATGATAGAGACTTTCGTTGTTGACGTGTCGAAACTTGAAATATGAATAATAATTGTTATGATAAATAAAAAGTATATACAAAACGCATGGGAACTCCAGTAACCATTCAAATCGCTGCTGCTTCAAATTATAATGAATAGTAAGTCTTTAATTTCATTAGGATAATATTTTTCTTTTATGTTTTTTTTTTTTGCTTTTAAATATATTCTCTTAAAAAGAGAGTCATATAAGCATTACATTTGCTATGATTAAACTACTGAACATGTAATCGTGCATGCAAATTAGTCAACTAATTGAAGCATAAATAAAGAGAACTTTTATAATTAAAAAGCAAAAATTATTGAGTTGTTATTAAAATATTCTATTTTTAATCTATATATTCAACAATGAATAGAAATTTTCTTGATATGTATATTGATTTACATTCTTATAGTTGTTTTTATTTGTTTAAAATGAAAAAAAAAACGAAGCAAACAAAAATAATTTCGATTGTCCAAGAGATTCATATATAATTAATGAAATATATTTCGATACTCTTCACACGATACTTGTGGACACGACATATGTAGGCTGTAAATCAAAATATGTCACCTATGAGAAAGTCGAACATTAGCTTCTATTAATAGAAACTAAAAACACGAGTTGTCCTTATCTCATATGTTGTGCACAATAAACTTTACCGAAGGATGATTTGTTAGACAAAATCGATTTTTTTTTAATTATCTATATTATAAAACATCAGTTCTATTTTTACACACAGTAAGAGAAAAAAAGTCTAATCATCCCTACAGAATTTCTTTTAATCATATTCTATTTGTCTTTCTATGGGAGTAATTCCGAATGCTCTAGTCAAACAATGCATTATGAAAGAAAAATTCTGATTTATATGTTTCAATTCTTAGATAATGATTTGTATAAAACATTACTCTGAAAATTTTGTTCATGCTTAAATAAATGGACAATGAACTTTGAATATGTCATTTTATGAATACAAAACTAAAAATTGCTTCGTTTTTTGTCTAGTGAGACACAAACATCAATTCGTCGTCAAGCTAATGAACGTCGTGATCATGAAAGTGCTTTATTGGTCAATTATGATGGTTCAATAGGTAGTCAACATGCTAAATATGGTGGTAGTCAATTGTTGTAAGTTTTTCTTTTTTTTTATTTCTTTTTTAAAGTTAACATCTTATACTTAAATAATAATAGTACTTATGAATAATTTAAGTATCCTCTATTTTTTCAAGGTCTTTTACTTATTCGTAAGAAAAATTATTGAATTATATACTTGTGAATCAATGTCATAGTTTTCTCTTTTCTTTTTTATTATTCTTTTTTTTCTTTGCTGATTTTTTTTCTATTGTTGTCATCATTACTAAGTTTGGCTTCAATGCAATCAATATATTCTCTTTGTCACCATTGTATTTTTTAGTAAAGAAAGAGCAACAAGACAAAAGAACAAAAAAAAAAAAGGAAAGAAAGGAGAGGAAAACGAACTAACTTTGTTTTTCTATCTGACTAACAACACTAGTAGTTCAATAGAAAAATGCAAGAATAATATACTCAACGTTAATAATATCTCCTGGCGTTAGTTCATCGTCGCGCTCAATGAAATTTTCGACACGACATGCACGCATTCCCTGTTTTGCTCTAACTGATGAACATAGAATGAGCTTCATGTAACATAAGGATTGTAGAATAAAAGAGAGAACTAACGAAGAAGACGAAGAGAATGAGTATGTGTGTTAGAGCGCATGTTCATCAACGGCCATGAATACTTCTCCGCAGTCTTTCTTCTTCGTCTTCTTGACTATGCAATGAGAAACGACAAGACCAATGCAACCGACACTGGCAGAAAAATGGAGAGTATAATGACTGTTGCCGTTTCGGAAAGCAAACAAAAGACGAAGTACTATGAGTTTAGATGTGTATTTATCACGATGAGATTTATATATATATATATATATACATATGATGATGATGAATGAAAATTAGCGACGAGTGATTGTTTACATCTATGAACAAATATTAAAGATTGTCTAGTTTTAAACACAATATAGAAACACGCTTGCCAAGATGACAATGGCAACAGTTTGGCAGCCTGTGACATTGAGTGACCATCCAATGTAAGTACATACAAAAAAAAAACAACACCATCTATGTCAAACATAATAGAATCTTTGTGCTAACTAAACATATTAGTCAAAAAACGATTACGTATAATTTTCATATCAAGTTATTTGTTAGTTGTATGACAGAAAGTCATTCATTCATTCAATTCGTCCATCTGCCAAATAGACTTCTTATCAAGTTTTTCTTCGCTTTCGTAGTTAATATATAAATTTCTAGCACAGGAATGATGGACTTGCATGCTAGTGTTTTTATAGTATTAGAGAAAAAAAAATAATACAAAGATATATATATATATATACATACAAAAACTCTCTTAGACAATATATTTTACAATCAGTCAAGTGATAGTTATTAATAATTATAGTTAAGTTGAATATTATAGATTTCTATTGATAATCATAAATAATATCAAAGAAAAGAAAGATGACTGTTGTAGTTATTATTTGATTTTTATATTTGAAATTAACTGTTCGTCTTCCTTGTTTTCTTAAAATGATACACCGTAAGTAAATAAAGAACAAGTATTTATATTAAGCTTCAAAGAAAAATTCTTTTATTTTTTTTGTTTTGTTTTGTGTACATATACATACCGATCAAAGAAAACAAAACAAAAAAAAAGCAACTGTAATTTGCTCGCTTGAAAGAAACAATAGAAAACATAAAGTATATACATATATGCACATTATTTGTGATGGAAGATAAATATATGCATATATGTCAACATGATAAATCATTTGTATTTCAAATATCTATTTCAAGGATGATGACTTTGAAATTAGTTTTTCATTTAATTAAATTTCAATTTGATTAATATTCAAAATATATAAATTGTATCATAAAAATATCGAATAAGAATTATATTTGTATTTCTTTTTTCTTTTGTTTACTTTTTATAAGAATTCTATAGGAAACATGATATAAATATACATTTAGAGAGACATTATAGAAAATGGTTTTTTGTTCTGCATACACTTAAGTTAGGCAGACCTCCGACTTATTTCTTTTGTTTTAATGGTACGTCATGTAACGATGTTGTTCGCATAGAAAATGAGAAGACAAAAAAAGGAAAGAGATGCAAACAGACATATTGCTAGAACTGAAACAATGCGAAGGTCATATCTGATGACAGAGGAATGAGGTTGACGATGGACAAACCGTTCTGGTAGAAACTAGGGTGATAGTGTTGATTATTGTTATTTTTTTATGTTGACGTCACTGGACGATACAAGAGAAACATAAAGTTGCGACTAGTATCGTCTCATATTAATATCTACTGCGACTTCGAGCAGTTTTCTCTTCTTATTCTTCTTTTCGCATCGTTTCTGCCTTTCTGTTCTCATTGATGTTTGTTGTTGTTACTCTTGTATGTATGTATGTATGTATGGAGGGATGGATATGTTCTCATTAGCGCACGTCATCATCATATTTTCTTTGACTTCCTTGTCGCCTTACTCTTCTTATGTTCTTCCGGTGACTTTTAATATCATCTTTCTTCTTCTTCTTTCAAACAAGTCGTATTGAGATACGCCGTCGAATATCATATAGATTTAAATAAGTCTTATTAAATAATGATTCTTACTGATCGTTCTCTGTAAGTTAAATTAGCCAATTGTTTTTATTTCGTTGTCTCATATTCTCATTTGTGTATTTAATATATATATATATATATGTGTAAAGCAGTCGGGAATCAACGCGTCGTCGTGGAGTTGATTTTGTTAGTGATCAATCATCGTTACCGGGTCGATCAAGTCGACATACATCTATTGTTCATCATGGTATATTTCATGATCCATTAAATAGTACTACTGGTTCTATATTTTACGATGCTGATCCAAATAGATCATCTATTGTTAGTTGTCTTGTGCCCGCTAGCTTATCTGTTGTTTCCAGGTGAGAATAAATTCCTATTTGCTGAAAAAAAAAGAGTAGAGAACTAATGTTTGCACTTACATGTTATTATTTGTAATTACAGCACATAGAAAATGATATACAAATAATATTATATCTTATCATGATATATCATTTAATATATAGAAATTGTATATATTATCATATTAACTTTTTTTTTCTTATGAAAATGAATGATTAGAGATATGTAATTGCTATCATAATAGATTTTAAATTAGAAAAGTTATTTTTCGATTTTATTTTATTTTTTTTTTTTTTTGTAAATAGAACATACAAAGAAATAAATGCATGTGTATTGGGAAATCTAGTCAAACTATTAGAAATTCCCAAAAGAATAAAATACATTGATCCACAAAGATTTGAAATCACACTCAATTAATTTTTTGTAATTGTTTTTCTTTTTTTGTCGACCAATTTCAGAAGCAAACAAATATAAAAATTTTGTTATCGTTTTTAATTGAACATTAAATATATATATATATATATATATACACACTAATATCTCTATGTCAAATTACAGCTTGTCAACTTCTAGAAAGTAATTTTTTTTATTGCTCTAATAATTGATAAAACCATTCGTGACTTGTTATAGACAAAATTACATTCTATTTTCTTAGAATAATAATCTAACATAGAATATTATCGATTCTTTTGGGATAATGTCATTCAATTATTTGGAATGCACAAATCAAAAAACTCTATTATAGAGTCAAAGCTTAATCAATGAACTTAAATATCGAGTAAAACAGGTACTTATAATTATATATACACACACCATAGAGAGATATACTCGATTTAAGACTATAATCAACAATAATGTTTGAAATAAAAAATTAAATTTAAGCAATATAAATTAATTTTATTAAAACATGAATACAATTTCTTAATAGAATATATTCTTGAACAGGACAGAAAAAACAAGAAGAACAATGACCTTGCTGTCAACATCAAGAAAAAAAACATGAGGACTTTTTTCGACACACAGATGCACATTTATATGTCCTTGTTTGAGTAACGTTGTTGTCATCGTTTATTCTCGGTTGGTCTTATCGGTAGAACTTATAGATGTGGAAGTAATTAGGAAAGAGAGGGAGAGAGAAAGAAAGTAACATAAAAGAGAAAACTAAACTTTGTCTTAATATTTTTATCTTCGATATAATTTCGACTATATAAATAAAATAAATAAATTTATTGTTAGACGAAAAAAGAAAAATGTAAAAATACTAGTTTGTTTGACCTCTTTCTTTTTTCTTTCTTTCTTATTTTAATTTCTCATCATTTTTATATTAGATAGACAAGCTAAGTGACAGAAGACGTTGATAGTTGTCTTTCGCATATTCTCTCTTTCTTGTAATCTATGCATGCAACAACGAAGACAGTACTGGTGATGATGGTATTGCTCCAACGAGTAAAACCATCGCACATGTTACTACTATTATTGTTTCAAAGTATTTTTTGCCAGTAGTATTTATATTTAAAAAGTACAATTTATCATGCTGTGAGTAATTTATTTATAAAACAAAAAAAAATACGATATCAAATATATATTTATAATATAGATGATAATAATATGAAGTTTTATTATGTAATTTAGGGCATTTTCTCGACCAATCGATGAAGATTTAACTCAAGAAGAACAATTACAAGTATCAAAACAAACTGATTATGAATCAAGTGAGCGTGTTGTTATAAATGTATCTGGTTTAAAATTTGAAACACAATTACAAACATTAAATAATTTTCCTCGTACACTTTTGGGTAATCCATCACGACGTGTTCGATTTTTTGATCCATTACGTAATGAATATTTTTTTGATCGAAATCGACCAAGTTTTGATGCTATTCTTTATTATTATCAATCAAATGGTCGACTTAGACGACCAAATCATGTGCCCATTGGTAATAAAATAATAAATTTTTCTAAAAGAAAATTTATATATATTCTTTATTTAGATATATTTACTGAAGAAATCAAATTTTTTGAATTAGGTGAAGATGCATTTAATAAATTTCGTGAAGATGAAGGTTTTATTAAAGAAGATGAACGTATATTACCTAAAACAGAATTTCAACGTAAAGTTTGGCTTCTATTTGAATATCCTGAAACATCACAATGGGCACGTGTTATTGCAATTATCTCTGTTACTGTTATACTTATGTCAATTGTCATATTCTGTCTTGGTATTTATGGAAAAAAAAAAAAAAAACAATAATTGAGAAAAATTATTTTCATTTTTTTTTTCTTCATATTTAGAAACACTTCCTAAATTTAAACGTTATCGTGTTCGACCAGCCGATAATACATCTTATGATTCTTCCCGTTTAACAATTGAAGAAGATGATATTCCTGAATTAACAGAACCATTTTTTATCATTGAAACATGTTGTATAATATGGTTTTCATTTGAATTAATTGTTCGTCTATTATCATCTCCAATGAAACTTGTCTTTCTTAAATCTATGATGAATATTATTGATATAGTTGCTATTGTACCATATTTTATAACATTATTTACAATCTTAGCTGAAGAAAAAACAAAATCAAATCAAGCTATGTCATTAGCTATACTACGAGTTATACGTCTTGTTCGTGTTTTTCGTATATTTAAATTATCTCGACATTCGAAAGGTTTACAAATCTTAGGACAAACATTACGTGCAAGTATGCAAGAATTAGCATTATTAATATTTTTTCTATTTATTGGTGTTATATTATTTTCTTCGGCGGTCTATTTTGCTGAACAAAGTGAACCGGAATCATTTTTTAAATCTATACCCGATGCATTTTGGTGGGCTATGATTACAATGACAACGGTTTGCTTTTTTTCTTATTTTAAATATGAAAAAGAGACACAGAGAAAACAAAAACCATTTATTTTAGGTCGGTTACGGAGATATGCGTCCTGTTGGCATATTTGGTAAAATAGTTGGTTCAATGTGTGCTATTGCTGGTGTATTAACAATAGCTTTACCAGTACCTGTTATTGTATCAAATTTTAATTATTTTTATCATCGAGATATTGATTCTGAAGAACAAAAAGATATTAAATATTCAACTAGTCCTGGTAATTCAACTCCACCTGTTGGTGATATGATTAATAATGAACAATTTGCATTAACAATGTCAACAAGTGTTGGTGGTGGTACACAAAAGAAAAAATCTGTTTCATCAGCAGATACTTATCATCATTTAGATGAATCTGATACATTTCTTCATTCATATTGTGCTGCTGATGATGTAACATTTCGTTCACCAACTGCAAATCATAAAAGTATAAGAACTTCACCGACACAACAATTAGTGCAACGAAAAACATCGTCAACAAATAATAATACTAATACTAATAATAATAATAATAATATTAATAATAATAATAATAATAATTTAAATCCATCGAATGAGCCATTAAATGTTGAAACAGACGTATAGTCTTGGCATTATCCGTCCACCCGGTCTGCTCTGCCTAGTCATCCCTTTCTATTCTCTATTGTCATCAGTATTAATCTAAATGTTTAATTCGTTCGATTAAAATCATGTGTTCAGATAGCTTTTATTCGTTCGAAGATGACCAAAATTAAGAGAAAAATACTAAGAGCAAAGTGTTTCTTTTGTTTTTTTTCCTTTATTTTTAAAAAAACGAAATCTTATTAACAAAAGAACAGAAGAGATAGCCCAGTGTTTTTTTTTTGTAATTTTTTTCTTTCTTTTTATGTAAAAAAAAAAAGAAACTTTATTATTATTTTATTTTCTCATGTATAGTAATGAACGTCAATAACAAATTTGTTCTTCGATAAAGTTAAAAAAAAAAAAAAAAAGGAAGAAAAAAATTGAATATTGTTTTCATATTTGTGAATGAAATGCAATTGAAATTTAGAAATAGAAAACATTTTACAATTCAATGAAAACGACTTTTCAATCAAAGAACTTAAGTTTATAATTCAGAATCAAAATGACCGAACTTT